CCATTAAATACAGATGATGCATGGATTGAAGTTCAAATTGTTCTTATTAAAAATTCTTATCAATATTTTCATAAAAAAACTTGGTTTTTAATTCAATATTTACATAAATTAAATAATATTGAATATTTCGATTTTAATTTAATTCAATTTTATACATAGACTAATTATACAATATATTCAATCATTGTGTCCATCATATTCGAACAATAATATGCCTAAGGCTAATTTATCCATTCAGTCTTTAGCATTCAAAGATTAAGTTTTTTTTCTCGCACATTCACTTATCGAATGCATTAGACTTTCAATGACATTCACACATGATTTAACTATGACTAGAAATATAAACTTACATATATATATATAAAATCTTATCTCGCTTATTGAATATAGTAGAATAATCAACAATAAATATAAAACCTTGTTCTCCTACTCATCAACATTGATAAGATCTGTTGAAAAGAATTTGATCAATATAGACATCTTTTTTTTTGTGTATTCTCTTTCACTTCATTGTCGGCCAAGTTTTTCTTATGTATTAAAATAGGAATTAGTTAGATGTCTGTCACGCACTAAAATAGAAGAACGGCGACTTCCGACAAGCATACATACTAAATTGGGCATTACTTTTCACTAGTTCTTTTATACGGACGATCGTGACCTATGACATATGGGTGATGCAAGAAGAAAAAAAAACAAGTTTTCCCAGCAGCTACTAAGAGTAAATTAGATACAACATCTTGTTTGAAAACATCACCAGCCGGACAACAATCAATTGAGCTAACCTTATTATATGCTTTAACGCATTGCACAACTTACATACATTTTTTCATTTAATAAGATCTTCTTACTAACGAAAAAGAACTGAATCCACCTGAATTGTCGCATAAACTTATTTATCCTCATACAGGATGTATATATTCACTGTGGAAGTCTATACAAAAGTAGACAATTATTGATAGACACATCACTACCCCCAACCAGGAGGCAATACAGTAGAGTAAGACTGACTACGATTACTATTACTTCTTCTGTGTATGTGAAAGCGAAGAGGAAAAAAAAGCCGAGAATTGCATAAGAACTTTCATTATTGATTTCTGTGTGTTTGGTGGAGTAGTAGTGCTACTGCTACTATTCCTATTACTGTTACTGATGGTGATGAGCATACATCGGCAAGATAACGGAGCATTTTTTTTTCCATCATTTTTTCCCTTCATCACAATTATTGCTCTTGAATATATAAGAAAGAGAGATAAAATATAAAAAAAAAACGCAAATAATAAAGAAAAGTAATTTTTCTTCACATTTTCTTTTCTTTTTTTTTTCGAGCATTAAGGGCGTGTCCAGTGATCATCATGGTGATCAATTACTTTTCATTCATATACACGCTAAGTAATCTCTCTCATACTATAATATCTCTACTCAAATTATAAATAATACAATGCTAAGAAAAATAAATACAAGAAGAATGATTAGGATTTTCTTTTCTTGTTTTGTTTTGTTTTTGTTTCACTCACGAAAATCTTCTTTTGGTACTGTAAATATATATGGTACACTTGGTTTTCCATCGCCTTTTTTTGTAAAAGCTTTTACTTGTGCATGATATGTTGTACCAGGTGTTAAATTACCAATAATATCCCAATATTGTGTACCAATTGTACCTTCATAATTACGATGTACAATAGGTGGTTGCATTGATAAAGGTGCAAATACGATAACATAAAAACCTTTTATCATTCCACCGAGTAATGAGATATCATCGGGATTATTCTTATCAAGTGGATATATCCATGATATATTTGCTGTTGTTTGATTAATCATATAAGCGCTTACATTAATCGGTGCAACAAGTGGAACTAGAATTAATAATAAGACGAATATTGACCACATACGAATTGCTTGACTGACTGATGTTGGCGTTGTTCAAAACAGATCGAGCAGATCTACGACAACCGACTGTTTCTTTTCTCCCTTTTTTCTCGTTCTTTCCTCCACATTCACCATCATCTATCCGAAATTATTTTCCCTTCTTCTTGCTCTCTCACTCTTTTCTCCTTGTTCTCTTTCATTGTCTCTCTCTCTCGCGCGCGCGCACGCACTCTCTCCTATCGTCTTCGCTTAGACTCTGAAATAACCATCATAGTATAGAAGAACAGTTTATTCTATTTATTTCATCATCTTTTCTTCGACAACGACTTCTTCATTAGAAGATCTCCACCCTTCTATATTACAAAATGAGAACGAAAGGGAACACATATTATTGCTATGTTATTTGAGAAATTATCGTTTCCGCCGATCATCCGATACCAAGCTCAAGCTTTAAAAGCACGCTAACGAAAAAATCGAGTAATATTTGTTAAGCATCAGTTGCTCATTTTTTTTTCCATTCCAGTGTTTTTTTGTTTCACATATTCTATGGTCTAATGATGATCTATAATATAAGATATTCAAGTGTTAGACTGTCACTTAAATGAATGGAAGAACAACACATTCTTATATATGTATATATATATATATATATATATACATAAATAGACGACAAGAACATTGATGATGTATTTATTAATTGTGGCATTTCAAATAATATAGGATACATCCTCCAATGGGACAGATAAAATGGACAGTTGTCCGTCTGTCTGACCATTATGTTTACTAATGAAATGAATAGTAGGGAGAAAATAAGAAAATGAGAAGATCAATTGCCACTGTCATTCTAAATTAGTTGATTAATTCTTCTCCGTTAAATATAAGACGAATAATTAGCTCATCTTATCCATTTTTTGTTTTACCAATAACTTATCGTTTTTCTTTTCTTTTGTTTTTTTACGGTTGTCAGTTGTTTGTAATTCATAAAAAAAAAGAAGTATAAGTGAAAAGTAGTAGCATGTAAGTTTTAAGTGGTAGACAGTTACTTGCTCTTTTTTATCATTTCTCATGCTATTTTATGAACGAGCGAACAAGTGAAATGTAGAAGGAAATGAGCCTTGGATGTGTCATCTTCCGCTAACAAAATCCAGTTGTCTTCTTGTATGCAACGCAACCAGGCATAGTTGACACATCTTTTTTTTTCTTGTTGCTCTTCTCTATCGCATTTTTCTTTTTTATTAAGAGTTTTTCAAGACTTGTTACTGTTATTACTACTACTAAATTCATTTGTCGTCAGTAATAAAACCAAATAGTAGCATCTATATTGATTCAATTCTTTTTGTAGATGTGGTTCAAAAAAAAAAAAGCCATAACTTTGCATGAATCAACTCACTGTAATTGGAAAAAAGGTTAAATTATAACCATTATGTCGAAGAAGCAAGGATGATGATGATGACAACAAATATATGTGTATTCTATTGGGGATTTTTCTTTTCACTTCATCATGTTCGTGATATTTATCGTTAAAAAACATTCTTTGTTTATTCCTAATAGGTTTCTTAGTCTTCGATTTCGCTACTTTTCTTTCTATATGAATAGTTGCACATATAGAGAAAAAAAACTTATGTGCTAATGGTTCAACGAAGCAGGTGTATTACGATTTAATAGAATTGGGTATAAGCGATAAAGAAATCTTATTAGTAATTCCATATGGATTATACTTGCTATCCTGTAATATGCACAAAATTCAATTTCTTCTTTTTTTTTTCTTTCTCTCTTTTGAATACTGATGAAAGGAAGTTTTATATGCTTTAATTCTTTATTGCATGGTAACTATACTCTGTTTGACATAAAGGTCAATTCATATTGTGAGAAAAGAGTAAGTTCGATTGACGATTATTAGTAGGCAAACTTGTATTTTTCTCATCTTGCGTCATTTTATTAGAAGCAAAGAAAAACGAAGGAGAGAGAAGAAGAAAAGAGAAAAAAAAGTATGTTTGCTATTCTTTAATTAATTAATCCTGAAGTTTTGTAACGGAAAGAATTTTCATAGAATGTTATGTGATGTTTAATGAACATCTTTCGTTCGTTAAGAAGAATTTAGAAAGTAATCAAGTCGAATCTTGTCATTTTTAATATAAAACTTAATCACAGCTAAAAAAAGAAAAAAAAAAAAGACGATTATATCAAAGAATATTTTCCGTTGCTACAAGGTTATAATTTCTAAATGAACTCTAATTCTTTAGGGAACATGTTGAAGACTTTGATTTGTTTTTTTTATAGCATGTTTATTTTTAAATAAATTATTTTTTGTATTAATTAAGAAAACAAGAAAAAGCTAAATCGGCATGATCTCATATATATATATATATATAGATTTCAAATGAATCAATCAAAAAATGATTTTATTTATGAACGTATGTCAAATGATTGACGATGATCGAAAAATATAGTATATTCTAACTTTTATTTATCAATCGATAGGATTGTCAAAATAAATATATAGAATCAAATTTTATTCATTTTAATTGAACAAAGAATATAAATAATATCTATATGTTCTATTCGATCGAGTATAAGAGAAAGAGAACTAAGTACTATTTATATTTTACTCATAAAAAGCTATCTTCTCAATAGAACAAAAGAACATGTTATATGGATACTGCTCGAAGGTGCGTAATAGCAATCAATAAATAACCATTAATGTTTTGTTATTTGCATTAAATTTTAACACTTTAAAATACTTAAAATGAATATTCTTCATATCGATATTTGATAATTTAAAATAAATGATTGCAATTATAACGACAGATACTCTCAATGATAAATTTCAATATTGAAAATGTATGTAAGTTATCATGCTTCATTCAATTTTTTTAAAAATCAGCTAAATTCGAAATTGAAATATTTTAATATCAATGCGTAGAAAACAAAACCCATCGTAACTTGATTCGTATCACAACAGACGCTTATCATTAGACCGTCCTTCATTCAAGGTCTCTCTAATCCTATTCATCTGTCAATGATATTATCGACTGATTTTTTTTTCACTATCTGTCAGAGAAACGTAAATAGTGTTTCAAAATCTGGCTTCTGTCCAAAATTACGATGAAGTGGTAAAAAGTCGGAGATTTTAAGGGAGAGGAAGTCTCCTTCCCTATCTAATTGGGAACTTCGATCGAGACTACGTATATTCTGTAGAACCAAATGAGCTATCAGATTGTCTGGAAAGTTCGTGCAATTGATGATCGAGTACTGCATTCGTGGATCGTTTCATCCACGCTATTGTATAGAGCTTGAAACTTTATCACGATTCGTTCCGGTCTNCAGAGAAACGTAAATAGTGTTTCAAAATCTGGCTTCTGTCCAAAATTACGATGAAGTGGTAAAAAACTTGGTAGAAAGTCGAACATTTTAAGGGAGAGGAAGTCTCCTTCTCTATCTAATTGGGAACTTCGATCGAGACTACGTATATTCTGTAGAGTCAAATGCATTTAGCTTATTGCTGTGGAGATATAAATGAATACTGTGATAACAGAAAAACTGATTTTCGAGTTTTGACTTGAAATTTTCTAAAGAAGTAGGCCTTAGTGAAAATAGTTTCTTGTGAAAGTTTCAAACCTTTTCGTTGTTCCTATCTTAAGATATAACTATGGGTCAAAGCGTGTCTTTTACACTAATAGTAGATTCGATTCTTATTATTTCAGGATAGAAGCAAATCAAAAGATTTGATACTTTCACAATAAACTATTATTAAGACCTATCACTGTACAAAGTTTCAATATGAAATTTGAAAAAATTTTTCCCGGCATTTTTAACAGGGATTATCACATCATTCGTTTAAAATCTATCGTAAAAGTATAGGATATCCGTCGTAATAAGCCAAGAGCCTGACCTATTTTTAGAGTATTTACATCAGGATGTCAGAAAATTTCGGGCAACTAGTCTTGCATTGCGTTCGATATTTTTACTAAGATTTATCCCGATCTGCTTCAATAGCTGCATAGTCTCTAGAAAAAGAAAAAGCTTTCACGAGTATGTCTGAGAATGATTCACACATGCCGGATATCGTGAATTCATGAAGCTTTTTATTCGAAATGAGCTGAATTATGTCGAATCAGTTTGATATGCGCGGAATGATGAAAGGGACTCGTCGTGAATATTTTTCAGTTCCTTCTCGATCTGGCAACCATTCAACTAGTTTTGAATAGAAAGTTTCATGAATACTCGATTTTCGACATTTCTGAGCTTATGCTCAAACACTGTAATAAGAATCTTTTCTTCTTCAAGAGAGAATGAATTAATCAAAGTAGACCGGAACGAATCGTGATAAAGTTTCAAGCTCTATACAATAGCGTGGATGAAACGATCCACGAATGCAGTACTCGATCATCAATTGCACGAACTTTCCAGACAATCTGATAGCTCATTTGGTTCTACAGAATGCACATAGTCTCGACTCAACGGCGATTTATTAGTTGGGAATTTTCTCTTGTCAAACATTGATTTTAGATATTAGAAATAATAAAAATAAAATTCTGTACTGATCTAATAAAAGAAAAATAAATTCAATTTAGTAATCTGATAAGATTTGTATAGAAAAACTCCCATGTGAAAATAAAATCACTTATATTATCAAAAACATTAATAAAATGTAAATAATTAAGATCATATCAAGATTTATAATTTCGAAGAAAATTTGATATCGAATATATACAATTTTTTTTTTTTTTGAATCTCATTTTTCATTGTATGTCACATCTTAATCATGTATAACATTTTGTAATTGTAATCCTCATTATTTGTAGGAGAAGAGTAAAGGAGTAACATATCCAATTAAGACGTAGAACATAACAAAAAAATTTAAGAAATGAAAACTGACGCTTCTGACAAGAAATAATATCTATCGGTTTATTTTTAACTGCTGAAAATAGGGTATCTATCTATTTGAAGATGAAACGAATGGTAGTTTACATTCATCCTTTCGGGACTAGATTCCTTTTAAATTTCTGAAATCATATGAAATGATTGATTTGAATTTTTGTTCGACGGTGAAGCATTTTTTTTTCTTTTTTTTTTTTACAGTTTTTATCTTGTTCAGGCTTCGATATTGTAATTGAACTAAAAGTGATTCCTATTTATTCTATTGATTCTTTGTTATTCATACTAGCATGATTGTTGATAAAGAAACCTTTTAATTGAAATTAAATTCAAATTGAATATTCAATCATAAAAAATTGTAATTTCTATTCATAGTATTATATTAATCCTGATACGACAAACTCTTCGTCAAACTATTACACCAGGAATAAGTTCATCGAAATTTCATTCAATCTACTATCAGATTGAAAATCTTTCGACTACTAAAGAATAAGTTACTCAGAAAAAAAAACGTGTTTTTTTTTCTACATTAGTAATATCCTTTTTCCTATATCTTATATATATATAGACAAATGACCATGAATAACTCTTCTTTTTTACTCTCGATTTAAAATATTTATAAAAACATAAACTCTTTTAAAATATTTGAATTACACTCTAAGATAAAATATAAAATTTTAAAAAAAAATCTATTCAAAACTTTTTTTCTCCAAAGTTATTTGATCAATTCTATGAAAATTTCCATGTCTCTTGACATTCTTTTTCTTTTTTCTAATCAATTTTCTTTCATAAATTATTCAATAATCAATGTAATCTGAATATTATATTGATTACATTCTTCTCAAGTATCAATTCTCAAGAAAACAAAAGTTCGAATAAAAACAATGAAAATACTCAAGTATGTTCAATCGAAAATTCATTATCGATCAAAAATTTTTCAAACGTAAGACAATAGTTACATATATGATTTCTTTGATTCTATCACGTACAACAAGTATTTCTTTCTTATATCTGTCTAGACAGTACTATTACCAGTCAGTCAAGCATTCTTTTATTTGAACAGGAAGTTACCTGTTTCATCTGTTGTTACTTCAATACGTGTTGATGGTCCAGATGAATCTGTAAATGATGAATTTAAATAAGCTTGTAAAATAATTTCATATTTTGTTATTGGATGTAGTTCATTTAAAAAAATTTCGGTTTTATTTGTTTGTCTAACAGTCCATGATTGATTAGAATTTATTGGACGATATTTTATTGTATAACCATATACAGATGATGATAAACGTGTTGGTTTTGTCCATGATAAACGTATAAAATCTTTATCGGTTGCTAATATACGAATATTATTTGGTATTTGTGCAAAATTATTTGTTATGAAAATTAATATTGTATAAAAAATGATTAAATAAAACATTTGTTTATCGATAGACAAAAGCAAATACAAAAAAAAAAATAGAAAAGCTTATCTAGACAAAATTCATAGAATTAAAATAAAAAATATATTAATTATTTATTTGAATCAGTAGTGATCGTTTACAAATAGAGTAAGTCTAAACTGGACAGTGGTGTCAAAATAAAATGAGAAAGCGATGATGATTATTTGCAATCAATTTTTTTTCTGACATATAAAAAACAAGAGAAAGAGCGGAAACAGAATGGAAGAAGCACGACCTCGATCATCATCGTCGTTGCGGTCCAAAGAGAGAGAGAGAGAGAGAGAAAGAAATATTGCTTTAACTTAATTGCATTGTCCTCGATGTATACTGTTTATCCTATGGGTCGAGCGACGAAAAAAAAAAAGAAGAGAGAACAGAAAAAACGAGACAGAAGAAAAAAAGAAAAAGAAAAGGACGAGTATATCGAACCATAGTCAGTCTAATTAGTCAGATACTATTTAATTCATATCTTTCAGCAAGTATAACTAACCAAAATTTCTTATCACAGACATATCTATTAATCCAATGATTTCTTAACGCGATAGTCTTTTAATTAGAAAATTTCTCCTTCAAAAATACTTTGCATGTGACACATATTATATGAAATAGACTTTCTTTTTTTAGATAAATCTATTCTAATATTCCATATATTTATATCATGCAATACGAAAATGTCATGTTTCTTTGATAATTGCATGCTGAGTATGCATATGCTCATTAATTGTCAAACACCTGCTTTTTATAAAATTGTACAGCACGCATACTGAGAATAAAACAAAAAAAAAAAGAAGAAATTAAATCGCATTATGCATCATTTATCTTTTCTTAACATTGACATCCATCAACTTGATTGTTCCCTTTTTATTCTTTCTTACTTTTCCGCTCATTATACTTAATTTTCTTTTTCTTTCGTAAATTACAAATTTTTACATTTATTTGAATAGTTTTCTCTTTGATCGTGCAGACATTTTTCTTTTACGATTCTCAATTCATTGAAAAACATTGACGTTTATTTACAATGTAATGATTATCTATCCTTTCATAAATAGTTAGACAATGATGAAATAAAATAACAAAAACTAGATCAGACACATCATAGTACGCTGTTATGAACAATTGATAAGCGATAGAAAAAATCAGCCTTGACATATAATTTCCATTATAAAATCAATCGATTTGAATATGATCTTGAGACACAAAAAGAAAACCTAAATTAGCATATCCTACCATATTTTCTTGTTAGAGTGCAATAAATAGCTGGTTGCGTCATTGATAAATGATTTTGATTTTGATCAATAATAGCTAAATGTAATCTTAATACATGATGTGAATTATAATTTAAATTAAATGATGAACTATTAAATTCATATTTATATAAATCATAAGATTGTTGTTTATGAATCGATAGAAAATTAATTGGTATTATTAGTTGTCGTACTAAATCATCATTATTTTCTGTTATATCAAGATAATATAAGATATATTTATTTATATAAAAACGTGATTCATAATCAATAGTCCATTGAATAGAAAATAATTGATTAATATCATCAGATGAACATTGAAATTTATCTATAGTTGATATTAAATGACGATGTGTTAAACTACGATTAATTATATGAAAATCACTTAATATTGAACCTTTAGCATTAACACTAGCAATACGAATAAAAAGAAGAGGAATTTCCAATATTGAAAGTTGTAATATATGAAATGGATATGTTCGAACAGTTTGATGAGACCATTTATCAAATGGTATCGATGTATTTGTTGTATAATAGAGGATGTAATGCTAAAATAGTAAATATACATATATATATATATATACGCTGTATAAAACAGTTCATAACATATGTGTTTATTTATTCCTAAATGAGTAGACATGATAATTAACGCTCTTAATACTACAAAGAAGGAATGCATATAAATTGATCTATCAACACCTTCCGATTCGAAATATCTACAGTTGTTAAAATGTTTTGGATTTTTCCAGCGAAGCTCTAGCGTTTTGTTTTGTTTCTGTTCACTAAATTCGAATAGAAAAAAAAAACGTTTAACTTTAGCGAAAATTTGTCAATTGGCCTCCTGCGTCATCTACTAGCCTTCAATCCTGACGACTTCGGAACACTCGTGATCAATCATATTCATTCTCTGAAACAATTAAGCTTTTGAATCAACACATTGTCAAGATAAAAAGCTCGACTAACATCAATACTCTTGTCTAGAGATGTGTGCGATCACGGAGAACAAAAAAAGGTTCCGGGACCGAAACCGGCATCACTTGAAAGAGAAGTTGCTGAGACCGACATTGGAACTATGAGAAAAAAATTTTGCCGGTACCGGAACTTAAGTTTATAGTACAATATTCTTTGAATCTAAGCAAATTATCATATAAGATTATTTGAATCAGAACATAATCCAAAAGAGATAATCCAAAAGAGTGTAGATCGTCGAAAAGATAAATAAATAAACGAGTATTGAAAAATTATTTTAGATATGATGTAAATAAATTCAGAAATAGTTTTCTTGAGACCGGTATCAGAAAAACTTGGTGTCATACATCTCTACTCCTATCTATTAAAAAACTGAACTAACCATTGAACATAGAGAATTTCTCTTTGAAAGTTATGCATATTTTTTAATCTGTTGAAATCAACATTTATATTTCTATTCTGTTTAAATAAAATAATGATTCATTTTTATGTAAAACAACTTAAAACATAAGATTTTAATGTGTATTAAATGAAAAAGACAATCATGCAATATATTATAACAAATTTTTAATTTCAATCAATCTACAAGATAGAACAGTCTTTGTTTTTTTTTTGAATAAAAAATGACCTACTAAAATTTGTTTATTAGAACAAACATATGAGTATAGGGAAACATGTTCTCTTTTCGGGTCACTATTAAAATTTTATTATTTTGACTTTATCCTCGAGAAATTTATTGCATTAACATATTGGTTATGTTTTCTATACTATACAAATTTTATTGATACTTCGAAAATAAAATTATATTAGAATGATGAAGAAAAAAAAAATAATCCAAATCTTAATAATTAGAACTAAGATTTCATTTATTTTAATAATGTGAATATTTTCATCATATAAGAAGAAAAACCAGCAATTATCCCTACTTATTTCAACTATTCATAATTATCACAAAACCACAATTTCTCTATGTTATAGAATTATAACTAAAGTAGCTTAATATAGTAAAACGTTTCAATATAACTTCTATTTCCTTACAAAATTAGGTCCATTAGTAGAATTAGGCGGTGTCCAATGAACGACTATAGATGTTTCATTCCAAACATAACCATGAAGATAATCAATTTTTTCTGGTATAGTTTCCAATGTTTTAATAATAATTGAATTTGAATAAGCTGATGGTGTAGCACCAATAAAACCTTTTATTCGAAATTCATATTTTGTATATGGAATTAAATCAATCATCTATATAATAAAAATAAAAAGTTTTAAAAAATCAGAACCCCTTTTTTGTTTATTTTTACTCGAAATGTAAAACTATAACGTGTTGTACGTGGATCAATAAGCACTTGTTTATAATCTTGCACATTAATAATCTCATTTTCTTCTTTATTATTATCATCAATATTATGTAAACGACGATAATAAATAATAAAATGATTAAAACGATCATAACGTCCATTTGATACACGCCATCGTAATAAAACACTATGACTTTGAATATCACTATAGCTTAATAATGGTTTTGTTTGATTATCTATTTAAATATTTAAAACAAAAGTAAAATTTTCAATGAAATTATATGTAAATACTTTTTACACACCTGGTATAGTAACAGTTATAGAAATTTTAGTTAAACCATGCTTATTTTTTGCTTCACAAATATATTTATTCACACCATGCATTTCATTATCAAATTTCAGAACCGCACGTGTAGAATTACGTGCAAGAAGCCTCGAATCTGATGCTGACAGAGAGAGAGAGAAACAGAAAAAGATGTAATTAAATTTAATATTTAAACTAAAGATATAAGAAAAAAAAAACCTCGAATCCAAATAACATCAGCTTCAGGATAGCCATCCGCTATGCAAACAAGTTCTTTTATTCCATCATTTTGAAGGTCAAATTGGCTATGATTAAGAAGATTATCCCGTATACGAGGAAATATCATGCGCTCTAAATACTATCAAAATATATTTACATGCCAAAAAAAACAAAAATAGAGAAAATGTCATCATCATTATCATGCAGTATCTTCCTTTTTATTTATTTATTACCTGTAACAATCAATGAACGTCTACTAGAAAATGATCGACCAATAGCATTTGAAGCTATACAGACATAATCACCATCATCGGCAAGTTCAACAGGATAGATGAATAAGGAACCTACAATGTAAAATAAAACAAAAGTACATGGTTAATTTGCGATAAAAGACACCTGTCACTGCAAGGTAAGATGCCTGATTTGATTTCATAAAGAATACTGAAGTCAAGATTAATTTTAACCTGTGGCTAAATTAATCTTACTTATTTATACATTCGTATTCTTTTTTTTCTCATATTCTTTTTAAACTTAATTTCATTAACTAAAAGTTAAATTCTGGTTAAATCACATCGTTGAATGCTGTTTTTCATCATAATTATGAAGTCAGAAAAAGCTTTGTTTCTGTTTTATTTCCAACTAAATAAATGATTATTTATTATGTATGAATAATTGCTATGCCAGTCACTTGGTATTTTTTTTTTTGTATTAACATACAAGAAAGCAAAAAAGGAAAAAACGTTTAAAACTTAATCTTTTCCTAGTCATTTATATATGCATAATAAATAATTCTTAATCTGTCATCTGTTATATTCCAAGTCGACATATATTTAGTAATTATCATATCTTAGACAAAAAAAAAAAATAATCATTCAGATGACATACTTGAATATTTATTTTCTTGTATTGTAATTCTTATATCATTATTTTGAATAAAACGTATTGCTTTTATCCTTTCAGATTGTTCAATATTAGATGAATTTTTTAAATGTATCCATAGAAAATGTATTGGATCTGAACTTTGTACAGATTGACATTTTGTTAAAAATGAACCACCTATTTGTACTCGTTTACCAAATGATGTTAAATCATTTTCATCAAGAATAAATGGTACATTATATTGTATAGCTAATTTACCTAATTCTTTTTCATTATACATTCCCATTGTTTCATCGTTATCATTCATATCATTTAATGGTAATTTAACATCAATATAACCTGATGATGTTATTTCATATGTTGAATTTATATTAACATGACATGCATATTTTCCAACATACATATCAGGTTCTTTAATGACAAGTACACTTGTTGATGTACCATAATAAAAATCGAAACAATCGGAATTATTAAATAAACGTTTACAATATATATCCGTATCATTTGTTGAATCATATAAAGATTCATAATGCCAACGTATACGTTTGAAATTAATATGATGTGATGTTTGACAAATATGATAAATAAATGCATTTGGCTTATAAATAACAGTTAAATTACGTAAATCACGAATAAATGATAAAGCAAATGTAGTTCCTGATATGAAAAACAAAAGTTGAGTTTTTCAAAAAAACGAAAAAATTCTTTTTTTTTTTTAAATATACCTTGAATGAACATCCAGAATTGATAAATGAACCAAACTACGATCATAGCCAATCAATTCAATCAAATGATTGCTATTTTCTCTCGTTTTTCAATTCAAATCATCTATAAATCGTCTTTCTATTGCTGTCTATTAAAAAAGCAAAGAAAAACGAGAAAATAATTTGAATTATGTAATTTTAGTGTACAGAACGACAACCGATACAGGAAATGCCATCATATCGGGCCTTCCACATTCGCCTATCGGGTAGTACGATTGAAAAAAAGAGAGAGAAGAAGAAGTAGTCTTTGATATAGATTCGATTAGCTCTATCCATCTATCTGACAAACTTTTTTTTTTCTTCTTCTTCTTCTTCTTCATCATTTTCTTTCCTACTTAGAATCAACAAAAAAAAAGGAAGGAAATGAAATGAATCATTTCTTACCCCCCTACGCGTTCACTGACAAACTAGTTCCTTATCATAATCATTACATTTTTCTATCTATTTTTCAAATGATCACTAAGATATTTATCATTAATTTAAACAAAACAAAAAATGATGAAGAGGAGAGCCTCCTAAGACATATAGAACTTTTTTTCTTCAAAAAGGAGTCGTTTACTTATCCTTATTGAAATGATTGATATATAGAATGATGCTACTTATGTCTCTATTGTTGATGATAGTCGATATATTTAAGAATGAAAATCGAGCACGTATTGACAATGATCATTTTCTTCTTTTAACAACCTATATTCATTGCTTATCTTTGGTCTTCTGACTGCAACTGCTGTCTTTTGTTCTCAAACATATACAGACAGATAAAAATGAACGAATGAATAGCGTTTGTATCAATCAACAAATCGTTAAACAATTATAAATCTAACAAATGAAAGATATCCAAGTGATAAACGCTTAAAGGGTTGGCAGATATTTCATCTCCTATTTTCTCTCTCTCTCTCTCTCTCTTTCGCTCCAACAAAAAAAAAAAAGAAGAAGAAGAGTACCGATAGTTTACATGAATAATGTCGGCATGAATGAAGATGATGATTTATTTATTAAGTAAATTGAATGTTACTGACCATCAATCTATTGTAAACTGACTATTAAAGAAGACTGACCTTGTCAAATTGATAGACGCCCGTCGTTTTGACGATCACTGTTTAATATAAATCACTTGTCTTTGGATAATGCCATTGTAATACAATATTATGAGAAAATGAAGAGGAAAAAAATAGGAACTAATTAGTTACACGTCTTTTCTATTCCCCCGGAATACACATTTTAATGTTCAATGCACATTTATCACAAACAGATGAGCGGTTGATTTCCTTTATTTTCCCTGTACACATGGAAAGATGTGGCAAAAAATCCCAATCTATTTTTCTGACTTTCTTGCTCGTCCCGCTTTTCTCGTTTTTCCACTGTTATTATTATTATTATTGTCGCTTTTTCTTGCCTTACATGTTCACGTCCATTCTCTTCTCTTTCGTCGTTAAAAGGATCACCAGGCGGAGAAGTGGTTTGCGATTTTGATTATCGTCTTTTCTTTTTTTTTCTTCTTCTTTAGCTTGTTTCTTTTCAATAAGGGAAGAAAAAAAACCAATGTGAGAAAGAACAAGGTTGTGACAACACTTATTCAATCAACATTTGGAAACGGCAATAAGCCGATGACATCAGTTCAGAGAAGATGACTGTAGAGCCAACTAAACAAAAATTGTATTATCCAATAGAACGCATCCGTGCATGATTAGAATGTCTGAATACACATATGTATATATATATATACTTGTAAAAGAACACAGAATCTTTCTATCCATAGAATACTGCTGTGACAAACACAGTTTATGGTCATTGATGGAGAGTTTGGATATAGTCCTTGGAGTTACTCACAGTTGTTCTTGTTTTCAATGTTAAGGTAATAAGGAAAACGTGGTATGTTAGTTGTAATTAATGTGATGTTTCTAGACGCTCGTGAAGCCTTCTGCTAATAATACCTAATCATCATTCTAGTTGTGAGTAAACCTGCTGGTTTGTTTGTTCGACGTGGTGTAGAGAATTCATTATGCACTCGGCACACACAGTTATTTCCGCAACCTTGACGTAATGAGACAACGGTGATAATGTATTACGGTATACATACCATAAATGAGAATGTTGCCTGTTTGATCGGCACTGCAGAACATACTTTCAAAAAAAAGGATGGAAAAAAAAGAAACAGAAAAATAAACTAGTTTAAGTATTATTCTTTGAAACTCTTAACATGTACCACCGGATACGCCAAACAAATAGAAAAGAAAAAAGAAAAAGAAAGAAAGAAACTTGAAAAGCACATAACATAACTGAAAAATTAACCTACACTTGAGTAATCAAATTTTACTGCATTCAATTTGAAGCTTTTCTTCTTCTTTTTTTTCTTTGTCCTACTATTGCATCATGCAGCTGTCGACTTAAATTATTGCTCAAATAGATTGGTCACGCCTTTCTGATCTATTGTAAACAAGAATATTGTATAGTAATTGTCTAGCTATAGATGTCATCGAGATATAATCTCCTGAGAGAGATTGTATGTGAGTATGTGGTTACTGTGTGTAACCCGTGTTTTCCGTCTCAAAATCGGCAAAGAAAATAGGGAAGAAAGAAGAAAGAATGAAGAAAATTTTGCTTAATAGAAAAGAAGACTTATGTGCCCGTGCACAATTCAATCATTTCTTTTTAAGCAGAAGTCCTTACCGAAATAGAAGACGGTGAACTAACAATATGTTGATTTCTCAAGCGGGTCGTTTTTTTTCTTTTTCTTTTTCTTATATTGAGAAAAGTTTGGCAAGTGTATTGTAGTTATAACATGTGGGCGTATATATGATATAGAAGTATGTCACATTATCAAAATAACAGTCGTTCAAAAATCGATAAACTGTCTGTGTCGGCAAAAGAAAAAGAGATTATTACTAAAGATGATCTTTTTTTCGTTTCTCTATTTGTTCTCTGTTAACAATTTCTATGATCTCTTTTGTTCATGCGCATCTAATCGATTTTTCAGAGAAAAAAAAATACATACTGATATTGACTTCAGTTTTTCTTTTCTTGAATCCAAATCGTTATATATATATATATATATATATGTATATAAATTATGATAATTATATTTAATATAAAAATATCTATTTATATATCTAAATAGAAATGTGTAATAGTATTGATTGATTGTTTGCTTGTATAAGGCTTCATATTCATCAACACAAGAGAGAAATTGATGGCAATAATAGTCCTACTAGTCAGTCAGTGCCCTTAAGCAATTAAGGCACAAGCGTAACACGATGAACATTTAGTGCTGCAGTGATTTCAATTATCGGATAAGTATGCACCGAAGATCGTGCGGCACTGTGACTGACTTCATTACCGAATATAGATCGTATCAACGCAATAACATCCGTTGCCAATATTGCCTTTTCCATCATCATTGACTATTTGTCCAATCGATGACGATAGACTCTTCGTTTTTTTTTCCTCGCCCATCAAATCAATAAAACTCGGATTAGACACACACATATGAATATACATTGGCACTAAATCATTCACATTCTGTCTTTTTTTCCTATTGTCTATGTTTATATAAGGACACATTTTTGCCATTAATTAGCTGAACACAAATAGGCACACATAAATTCTTCCATATAATCTAAGCAACTATGAATGAGCATTTATATTAACCTCTTCCATCAAGAGCAGTGATCCATTCACATCTTATTAGAATAACAGTTATTCAATTTTGTATTAGATATGTTATATCATTATATTTCTTTGAATAAAAAAAAAACAGAAAAGTATTAAGAAGTTAATTAAAATGCATATATAACTGAAATTAACATTGAGAACATAAGGGTCTCATCATTCGGAGAGCATTTTTTTTTCTCTCTATTCAATGAATAGATTCAACCAGTAATGTGCATAGACTATGAATAACAACAAATAGACTTTATTCAACATTGTTATATTTACTTGGGATTGAGTCCGATATAAGAAATTTAAACATGCACGATCACAAAGCTTATCATAATATTCAAAGTGACTCAATTCATCGTTAGTAATTAATTTTCTTTAAAACCTTATATAATTTTTATTTGAATTGACATACGTCAATAATATTAAAAATTATCAATTGAATCTATTGGAAAGCTTTCAATATAATAAATTAATAGAAAAAAAATATTTCAATTTTAATTTAATCATATTTGTTAATTTCTATTCTAATGATCTAATGAATTAATCAGTTTTGATTAATAAAAATATATTTTATAATTGAAATTTAATATAAATTAAAATATATGACTCATAGATAATTGTATTTCACTCTAATTATATGTTAGATTGTTTATATCCTTTTTCTTCACGATCAATGTATTACGTAATAGAATAAAAATAACTTGTCTCATTATTACCACCATTATAGATATCAAATTGTCAATGAATATAGAAAAGTGTTTGTAGCATTAGCAATGAAAAAAACTTTTTTTCAATGTCGAAATTGTTTTCTTGGTTTAATAAAAGATCAAGTCATATAAAGAGATTTCAGTATGAAATTATTATATCATAGCGTCCGTAATTAAATACATATTGTATGATTTTTTTTTTAGAAAATGTAATCGGTTCTATTCCTGACATTCATTCATCTTTACAAAAAAAAAAAAAAAAAAAGTTTAAAAAAATTCGCTGAAAAATTTGATGTTAATATATTTTACTTTCGATTCATGAAGAAAACAACATAATAGGCTAACAAATAATATCGAACATGATCTACGCGATTGATATATTTATATTTTTTAGAATTTATAAATTTAGTGGAATGTGTTGTTTTTCATTGGATGAAACATCAAACATGTTTAAAGATACTTATATTTACTTCATTAACGATATAATACAACTTATAATGCAATACCTGTTAGAATAACGTTGTATCTTTCTTCTGTTGATTCAACTTTTTATTAGTTGATTTTGACTTCTGAAACAGTCGATGAGTATCCTGTAGGATGCGAGATT